ATTGCCGGAATGTACCGGGGGGCACCTATGTTGCACATTGTCTTGGTGGCGTTGATGTCACGTGCAGATGTTCTCACTGCCGTACTGCCCAACCTGATTGGCGCAAGAAAGCCTTTGCTTGCAGCATTGACCGCTTGCTCATAGCTATTTTGAAGCTTCTCATGCTGACTGGCTATCGTCCCCCACGCCTGATGTTGTACATCTCTAGCTGGGGTGATCATAATTCCCATGGCCCCGAAATGTACAATCCGGGTAGGGCCTCCAAAGCTTGCTCAGGGCGGCTTAACTTCCGCACCGGGCTATTGGAACGCCAGGCCAGCTTTTACTTGCTGAGTTTCAGGCTTCCCCCCCCCACCCCTTGCTCAAGCATCCAGTACCATTGCGAACATTGGGTTTTTGGGGGTTTGGGGCTTTTAGAGGTCCATCCAAAGAGCCGTGACAACATGCGCCCAATGGTACTGGATGCCCAAACCAGGGTGGCCTCTTTTTACGTATTAGGATTGTGACGATGGTCCTGCACCAGCCTCGTGTGAGGTGTGGCAGCTGCATGCACTGCAGCAGCAGCACGGAGGCGAGGCTACGCATCAACAGTGTTTAGAAATTCGGGGTCTAGATTGAAGCGCCCGAAGGAACTTCCGCTGGAATTTACATCATCCAGTTTTTTGGGATTTAGGGTAGAGGGGCTGGCAACAGTTTAAGAGTCACAGCATGTCCGGAAGGATTACTGGGTAGCCCCGGCCCCAAAACGAGTGTATCAAAACATGGCGGCATCGGTACATCATTTCGAAGGGGCTCTGGTGAGCAGGTGTGGGATTGCAATAGGTAGGGTGTACGGTGCTGCTCGCATGCCCTAAACCACACTTCATGTGCAAGCCCAACCCTGAACCTAACATAATAATACTTCCCAAAAGTTTTATACACTCACTTTGGGTGTGGGGTTACCCAGTAATCCTTCTCAACATAAATTAAAATTGAATTCACGGTCCGAGTCAGTGCTTTCGCAAGTCTCCGCCCGCCGCTCTCATGCGAGTGTCCATATAAGTACCGGAAGCCTGGAAGCAGAGCTTGGAGATTTCAGACTCACACCGGAAACTCTCAGAATCCTTTTCGCCATCTTGGTAAAGCTCGTAATGCGTATAAATTCATGCCAAACAACTGTACTGCAACTAAAACTTCTAAACACAACCAAGCATGGTCGTAAGTACGGATGGTGGCAAGGGTAAGACGTGGCCCTGCCTGCCTGCAATGCTTCCAGAGGAAGACCGAACCCTAGAGCAATCAACCAAACACCGTTTCCACTCGGCCGTGTGGACCGGTCACTAGCTTCAGCAATTCAGCTTTCAGAGTCTATTTGGGTTTCATGTTCTAGAGTTGAGGCAGGAAGCCCCACCGTGAATATCTCCGCATAGCCTGCGGCAATCGCCCAACATTAGCGCAGCAATTGGCATGGTCTTGTCAACCCGCTCACAACCCTGTTGAGAGCAACGCTTGCAGGCGACTGAGCCTTTTGGAGCCAAAGGCATGTCACTGAGACCAATTGGAGCGACGGCAGCAAAATGACGAGTTGTTGACCCAATTCGTTGGGAAATGATTTATGTATGTGTTTAGTCACAGACATCTGTGCCTGTAGAAGAAGCGCTTCATGTATCTGCTGGAATTTCCTGCCAACATCTTACAAAAAGGTATAGTTATGAGCAATGCAGCTCTAGGTGGCACCGAACTCGGCCTACAATTGTGACGACGCGGACTGCGCAGACAAGCGATCGTATGCTAGACTCGGGCTTGCGCATCCTTCCTAATGGAGTTGAAGGCTTTGAGATCCTGTGCTTCATGATTTTGCAGTGTAGATGGATGAGTGGTGCTGGCCGAGTAGCAGTCGCAGAAGTAACAGTATGCACTGGCAGTAGCGTCAGCAGCCTCAGTCTTGTCAGCTTGGGTAAGAAACATGACTCAATGTTTGCTTGGTATCTGGTTTTCAAAGCTGAGCTGTTGTACCGTGCCAGTGTCCATACCTCCACCTCGCCGAAGGACATGTGGCTCAGTAAGGAGCCAGTTCATTGAACAATTCACGGTGGGACGGATACGCTGCAGTTTGCATGCTGCGCAGGCGCCAGCTGTTAAGTCTGAGCCAGAGCATCACTTGCCACAACGACATGGCTATGGCAGTAAGACGTAAGAAGCCAGTCTGTGCGCGCGGGCATTTCGTAGGCGTAGGCATAAGCAACCACAGTGAAGCACCAATGATTTGGCAAGTCTGATCAGCGTGATGGCCTGCCTCTTCAAGAGCAATGCCAAGCTGCAACCTCAGTGGTGCAGCTTCGGAATTCAGCAGTCAGCCCAGAAAATGCAAAGTAATTTAGCAATACGCGGATGAGGTTTTTCTTTTTTATAGTTATTGCCGAGGGTGGATGAGTGGATGCGCCTACCCTAGATTCCTAGATATTGCTTAGATCAATGCCCCAGTCGGCGCCGCCAGTGTTGGCTGCATGCCCAGCTTCCCGTTGCCGAGGGAAACGATGCACGTTGATCGTAGACGCACCCAATTGTCAAAGCATCGAATCCGAGAAAGCAGCGCGCATGTTTGCTGCGGCCGATTAGCCAGATGCATGAGGAACATCCTTTTCCCCAGTTGCACATATGCTGTACAGGACATACTGGCTTCCGTAGGCACCCAGCAAAACGCAATCCAATCCCGAGCATTTGCAGATTTGTCTTACTTGGCCTGGGCAAGGGTTTCGAGTCTCAAGCCAAAACCCGGACAGGCTTGATCTGGTGGCGCTGCTTTTTCTTTTTTTTAGAAATCCCCATCTGCTTGTTCTGCCAAGAACGTGCCTCACTAAACATGTCATTGGCTATTGTAACATGTTCTGTCAAATTCCTGCCAAAAGGCAACAAGCGGCCGCAGCGAGTCACGATCTCAGAAACGTAGCTCGGTTGGTGTTTGTTGCCCACGAAATTTTGATGCCTGCACAGCTTAAGGCCAGTCTGCTGAAAGATCGCCTTCAGCTCGGAGAAGCAGCTCTCCTGAGCGGACACGACGATTGCTCGTTTCCACTGTTCTGTGTATGTCTTCGGGAGGATGATGAAGGATGCATTGACAAGTCATATGGCCCCTAAGTTCAAGCACTTGTTGTAATCACACTTCTTTCCTATGATTTTCTTGGTGAAGCATCTTCCACATCCGTACATCTGGTTTCTTGGCCCCTCACTCTTGCGATTTGTTCCAGGCGATGGACCTGCATAAGTGCCAGTACTGCATCGTATGTTTCAAGGCTCTTAGGGTATTGTTCACGGTATTTTTCAGAGCGCAAGAGAGTCTGTTGTTCCCCATGGCCATGGCAGGGTTGAATGGCAGGTTGCCCTTGAAGTGGGCGTCTGAGGTAAGCTGGCTTCATGGAATTGGCAAACTCAAGAGCATGAAGCGGAAGACCCAGCTCCGAAGCCCAACCTCCAAGTCGTAAGTTTTTGTTCGAAATGTCGCCGCAATGGCACTTCCCGGCGTCTGAGTTCTGAACCAAGCTGACGAAGATGTGTCGGAAGCCCGCACCCTATAGTTTCAACGGGCTGTGCCGGAGTCCTGGACCCCTCAACACCAATCTCGCGCAGGAAAAGAGCTTCATCACCGCCTGCTCCAAAAGGACTGCCGTACGAACTGACTGCGCAGATGTTTCTTGCCGTCAGGTTTATGAGCTTGCCAGAAAGAATTCCACTGGTACATTTGGAGGTGTTTCCGCGTGCTAAACCATGTGGGCAGATCAGTGCAGCATGTGGAGAGTGGTTCACCGCGTGCTCAGAGCAAGATCTGGATCAGAGGTTTCAGGATTTTGGGGTTGAGGGCATGTGGGTGCTGGGCTTGGAATCCTACGATTTCAGAAGGGCCGACGGCGACCCCTGTGCACCCAAGGTCCCCTGTTCATCGGTGCTTGTCATCAGAGTCCATGGCAAAAGAATTATCTTGCCATTGGAACCTCCAACCTCCCCCTGCTCTCTGATGCCTCGCAAAAAAGATGAGGTCGCACTTAGGGGTGAACAAGTTGGCGTAGTGTGGGCCGTCCAGAAGGGGGCAGACTCCCCTGGTTTGGGTCTTTGGGCTTTCCGGTAACATATGCAGCGCGCAGGGTCGGCTACTTGGTTCGTAGGTCCCGGGGGCTTCGCAAACGTCAACGACGGAAACGAACTTTTTGGCCCATTTGCATCCTAAAGGTGCTCGCGTGTTCCGTTTCAAGAAAGAACTACCAATCAGCACGTTTTCTGTACGCGTCAGCAAGGAGAATTTCCAACAATCACCGATCGAAGTATTGCTGACCGTATGCTCCGCGCCTTCTCGCACATAAACAGCACCGCAATTGCACCGCCAATCCCTTGAGCTGTCCAATCAAGCTTTGAACCACACCCACCGCCGGAAAATTTTGGGTTTTGCTTGGTAGTCCTCGTAGTTGCAACGTTTTCGTGTTCGCTCCAGGAGATGGAGATCGAAGCGCTGCACACGACTTGCGAGGAGGTGGGCTCACTATGTGTACCGGGATCCTCATCTTACGTGCTAGAAAAGTGAAGTGCAAGGAGCCTACTACTGGCCTGGAACCCTTTAATCCTGCACCTTGAACCTTAAACCCTCAGTCATTGTCTGGTCTCCAAGTTGCAGGAGGCCTGCAAGCACGTGGTGCGGTGATGGTGATTGTGGTGATGGTGGCGATGGTGGTGGTGATGGTGGTGATGGTGATGGTGGTGACGGTGGTGATGGTGGAGGTGTTTTCAGCACAGCTTGCGTGGAGTGGCCTTGGTATGAAGAAGCTCGTACTGGTAGTATGCATGATGTGACCGTGAGAGTACCCGTATACGGGCATCTTGAGCTGACTAAAGAATGATGCTGCTTGGCCTTTGGAAGTGCATGCAGTTCGTAGCGACCAAGTTTTGAGGGCTGTGTTGTTTTGACAATCACGGTGCTCTTTTCCCGTTCATCAGCATCAAGTCTGTTGTTGAAGTTCAGGGTGGGTTTGCAGGCTGCAGCCGAGATGCAAAAGCTCGAGGCTGCATTGGCCGCAGCGCAGGCTTTAAGTGTGGGCTTTGTATCACCTCTTTTTCGGCAGGTCTGGGCGTGCCTCACATTGTCAAGCTACGCCTGCACCAGTGTACTCAACTCTTACTTTTCCTTGGTTGTCAGGCGGAGCAGCGCAAACTGGAGGATGCGCTGATACATTCGCAGCGCGAGGTGCGGCAAGCCATGCATGCACGGGGGTGGGGCGGACGACGCTACAGGCACTTGTAGCAGAATCGAGTAACAGCTTAAGCTGAAAATGGGACAGCTGCACCTGCACCGAATGACCGAGAGGAAGAAGAGTTAATTACAATATAGTCGCAATACCAACCAGTAATTTGCCGTGAAGACAGTTAAGACGTAAATATGAGTTATCTGAGTGCTCAAGCGGTGGCAGAAGCAGCAGCAGCGGCGGCGGCGGCCAATGAATTCCAACTCCTTATCCTTGAGACCTTGCAACCCATTACCGATGCGTTCGTGATGAGAGTGGGCAGACCAAGACATGAGCGGATCACCGAAACTAGGAATAAGGCTTTTGATTTGTTGGGCGGCTACTATAAAGTCACCAGCCTTGTATGGAATCCGGTTGTTTGGCGTCACGCGGTTGGTCAGGTCTTACCTTGTTCACGGGCCGCCTAGCCTATGTAGCGAAGCTTCTCCACCAACCCATGCTTCCTTCGTTTCAAACAGTATCCTGCCAAAATAAACGTGACCTCGGTTCTGAGGCAAGAAGCGACGCAGTGTACAGCACCGAGACTGGTTGGTTTGCTGTCATGGGTTTTTAAAAAGGAATTTGGAGAATTTCAGTTTTGGATTATGACGCTCAGGGTAACGTAAGAGAACCGGATGTTGATAATTGTCCACGTACTTCTTGTATAGCTTTTCTGTACTCCAGAACTTGTTCACATCGGCTCAACCTGCAATCCGGACCTTTGGGGGCTGACTTGTCGAGTTCTGGAACGGGCTCAGGGCCCCGTTCTCCAGAACCTAATGTGCAAAAAAGAACCAAACCCTTCCCGAAGTGTCTGTAAGCAAGACCCTAAAGCGCTTCAACCAAAACTCAACCTTGAATCTAGATGCTACATAGCACAAAGCCTGAGCCGCTCTACTGTCCAAGGCGTCGCTAGAAAGACCTTGTTGATCCGTGTTTGTTTCTTGGGCTCTCAAGCGGCCCGCTGCCGGGAAGTCTAAAACCAAACAGGTGCCCCTGGAATGCGCCGGACCCTGAAGAGACAGAGGGACTGCAGAAAGAGTAGAGAGGCACCACACCCAGCAAAGGGGGCATATATATATATATATTCACAACATGAAGGCACTAGTATTTCTTCTGACGGAAGCCTTCATGCCTGACCCCGACCCAACCTGAGAAGGAGCATGTCGGGCTTCCTGAAGTCTAAATCCCAAACCATGGGTATGTCCGATCCCTCCTTTCTCAGTGAGCCTTGATCCATCAAATCCGACTAGCAAAGTATGTCTCAGTAAGCAACACTCCGTCTCTCCCAGGCTCATAAGCAACCTCTGGGCAGCCAACCGCTACTTGGGTGGCCAGGCGGAATTACAGTTTGGTTGAAAGGCATGAGGAAGTTGACGAATGCAAGCGGAAACCTGGGAGGGACCTTTGTTCAGATTACCCCCTCTTTTCAAGAACCAGTGGCAAGGGGACACGTGTAAAGGTGATACACTCGTGGAGCTGTTTCTTCAGATGACCGTGTCTAAGGTAGTGATCAGCTGCACGGTGCCGCAGGGACATGTGTTTTTTCTGGAGTGGCATGCAGAGACGCATTTGCAGGGCTGGAGGGGTGTCTGAGCAGAACCCTGATGTGATTGGTACCCGCGGCATTTCCAAGCCAATTACCCGAGTGGGCTGCATCTAGGAATCAATGAGGCAAGGAAAGCGGTGCAGCGGCGGCGGTATGCTGATGCTTATGCTGATGATGACGATGTTGTTGATGTGGGTGGAGTGGGGCTCCAGGATTCAAGCTTTGTTGGGCTTATAGGGTTTTTGGGTTTATTGTGCCGTAGGGTTTATAAGGCCTATAAGGCTCGAGTGTTTAAGGTTCATGTCCAGAGTTTTGAGTGATGTTGCGTGTCGCGGGCAGGGGGAGCCGGAAGCTTAACAAAGGCCTCGGGCCTGGGCGCTGAAAATGAGGGCGCCGCAAATTGCAGAACAAGCAGCTCGAAACGCAGCTCCAATTTGGCAAACATCTTGACGTTGTGTGTTGCAGCTGGGTTGCTGAATCCAATGCCTTTGCCCGCAAAAACAAACATTGACCGCTGGTATCAGCAGATTATTCAAAGGGGTTCCAGTTGTAATTTTTCTGCCCTTGTGTCGCTTCCCTGGCGCAAACGCTTCCGCGCAGGTGGCTTGTGGCCATAATTGGGCGTAGATGCCATCACTGTAGGTTGTCAGGGTCTATATATGTAATCACTGAATGGCAATTAGTAGGGAAGAAGGGAATATGATTCCGAAAATCCCCGACACAGACATTCCCTATCATTCCCTTATTCCCTACCAACTCCCAGTACGAGCAGCATAGAGTTGGCTACTGCCATGCGGGGTGCTCAAGGGCCACCCTTCAACATGAATAACCCTAAACCCTAAACCCTATTGGAAGCCCCCACCCGTGCCGGAGCGAGGCCTTCGCAGCGACTGAGCCTTTTGGAGCAGGAGGCAAGTCAACGGAAGCAAGCGGAGAGGCTGCAGCAAAATGAGAGGTGTCTTGCTGTTCACTCACGGAAATGGGCTTTTGTAGGGGTTCAGGCTTTTTGTTTGTTGAGAACGTTAGATCGTGAGCCCAGCAATGCACCAGAAGCTATGCAAAAAACCGATGTTTTGCCTAATTGTTATGGTTTCAATGCTTCGGGTGAGTGATCAGACATGCGTATGACTAAATGTGATTTCCAGATCTTTGCATCTCACTTCAATTTTGGTGCGGGCCGTAAGCTCTTCAGACATTGTGCTCTGAATAGTTTTTGGAGAATGCATGTTTGCGGTAACAGGCTATAACTTCAGATGCCGGCCTTCAGCTTCAACACTTGTGGGCACATGTTCGGAGCAAACCGGCGTTTGGGGTCCAATTTCGCTCGTCGCGTGCCATTCCTGTGTGACCTGCGATTAGCACACGTGCTAGCCTTGCGGCGTTGTCCTACGCACTTTTCACGCACTACGATTTCCTAGGCCCTGTCGGCTTTACAGGGGTATGTCACTTATACATTTTGCTGTGGCACCTTGGGTATGTCTTGCGTGAGATGTGGGTAGGCATTGGCCATTATGCTCATTTTCTGATTGGCGCTTCTTGGCAAGAACATGCGAGAATGACAATGCCATCGTGAAACGGCGCCTTAGGTTTCAATATAGTGTAGGACAGCAGTCACGCGCGTCCAACAGTTTGAGTCGAAGCGGTCTGCGATGGCCCGTGCTGCAACACTTCTGAGCAGCCTCGGGACTTGCGCCATCTTGCCCGAAGCTGAGGATGTCTTAGGGGTTCCGTACGTTACAACAGGGCGGGGGCCTCCAAAATGAGCCACAAAGTTCAGGCAGACTTCAGAATTATGTCATTCCATTGCAGTTAAGGCTGGAAGCTTGGGGAGCCGGTGTACGATTTGTCCAGACTGTCTGCATTATGGAAAGTGACACCAACTCTTTGCTGTAAATTGAACCGCAACGGCTGTGTGCGGTGTCATCCATCTTACAACTGGCAATCAGTGCAGAATAAATTCCTCTCTATGAAGCCAACATGCAGCAGCCTCGTGATCCGGCTTCCAACTTGTGTGTTCTGTTTGCCCCAGCAAGGTGCTGGATATGCCCCACATGGCGCGTGCTTGTTGGCTGCAGATGTGAAGCTCATGTAGCCTGAACTTTTTTTTGCAGGACATGCTGAGGGATAGCAGTCTCAGCAGTCATCAAGTGCCATGCTACAATCCGGCGTCATGTTTAGGGCATCGCGCAGCAAGGTGTCAAGGTAGTTGGAACGGGAAGAAATTGTCTGCCCCATGACTGATGGCGCAGCAAGCTGCAGTGTAAAGGCAAGCCCGTTCATGGGCTTCAAATTGAAGACCGTTTGAAAATTAAGGCCTTGGAGCCCTGCCACCCTTCACCATAGAACCCTAAGAACCCTAAAGCCTGAACCCGTCAAACTCCAAAACCAGAACCCTACTGCACCCTTAACTTTATTCAGGCTTCGAGACTTTCTCGAACTGGTCTTGGCATTTCCCTTCAGTGGAACCCCCTGTGATTCCTCCAAAGTACCCATACATCCCTCGAGTTGTTAAGGTCCGCTTTTCCAGAAACCCTGGAACCCCCAAAACACTCAACACTTACCTAAACCCATATCCAGCCCTTCGCATGCCCAGGTTCTGTGGCGGCTTTGGAGCCATCTCCAGATGCATTGCTTCAGGCACCGTGGTTTTGGGGGTCTCTACTGAGATCTTCGGCGTGGGGTTTAAGGCTTAATTTGTGTGGGTTTCAGGCTAAGGGTGTAGGCTTAAGATTCTAGGTCATGGTGTAAAGGTTTTTGGCTTTGGGTTTCAGTGTTGAGGCAAGACGATTTGGGGTAAGAGGTTTAGGATTCAGAGGTGACCCTTATGCCGTTCCTGGCCCCCCTTCTCCTTCAGCATGAGCAAAGAACAAGTAGCAGAAGGTATGTACAAGCATGTACATGACTCTGGGCACGTTTACTGATTGGGTCAAAGGGGGTTCTGAGTATATGGGGACATACGAAACTAGATGACAGCAAAAAGGGCAGCTGAGGGCTTTGCCTGAGACAATAATTCCGATCTGCCTAGAGATGACAGTGCGCCGACAAGATGATTTCTCTTCTCCCTCTGTATATTGAGCCGTGCAACTTTGGCATGTACAAGTTTGTTAGGAGGCGCATGCTCATCACTGTATGCATTGCCTGACGCCTATGAATCCTAGCAACTTGGGAGAGATGATGAGCAGGAAGAGTCGGCTAGATAATGGTTCTATGATATTATGGCACAAAAGTATGTTGGCATGGCAGCGTAGCATTGCAGGCTCTTACAGTGAGGACTGCGGTGTACAATGACCCTTTGTTGTGCTGCTCCTCATGATAAACCCGGGCCAAAGATGTTGTCGAGGCTATCCGCTCTTGCGAGACCTGATCGGGCTCTAGCGTATGTGTCTGTGTGTCGGGGATATCAGGTTCAGGATGTGGAAGCTTCCGGGAACCTCCCAATACAGATGCTTTCTCGGAGGAGGGCTTTCAGGGCGTTATGGGTGCCCTCATACTACCGTTGAGGGATACCAAAACTAGTGTTTTTTTCTGGGAATCACGTGACCCAGGGTGGCGCAGCGCTTCTTGCATCAATGGTAGGTTGAAAATGGATGTTGCAGACCTCAGCTTAAGTATGTAGCAGTTGTGTGTTCGTTTGTAAGATGGCCACATTGGGGAGCTCATGTCGGAATGATCTAGCATGATTTAGAACCAGTCGCAGGTGTTGCCACTTGCAGCGTTCCACGTCGCCAGCTGTTGGGCCTCAGCGTGGCCATGGAGGTCTGTGGTCGTATTGGCAAGATGGCTTAGGGTTTTAGGGGTTTGGGTTGTATGCTTTCATGACTACCTCTTTCCAAGAAAGAGAAGGACTGATCTGTTGGGTTGTTGTGCCAATTATGACCACTAGTAGTCCTTCTGTCAGCAGGAGCAGCACTTGCAACGTGCAGGCTGCAGCATTTTGCAGAAGCTGCAACAGTCATACGTGCAAACAAGAAAACATGAATATTCCGTACAAAAAAGTATTCACTAAGTCAACAGTAGTCGTATCTAGTAGGTAAGGGTCCTACATTGAGTGTAGCTGCAAAGAGTCCTCTTGCCAATAGGTATTCACTAGGTACCTTAATAGTCATCGCTATGAACGACTTCAGTAGCAGTATTCGTAACCGTAGGTGCAGCCGCTGAGCAAAGTCCTACGTTCGAAGCATGGATAGTGCTTGTGTGGAAGATCAGCATAGTCATATTTGGGAAAGAAGCACGATCGCTGGATCATCCTTACCATTGGCCCTCGCAAGAATATGTTATAGTACTTTCCATGTTCTTTCCCATTATTCCCTATATATCCGTGCATGAATATTCGTTTGATGTTTGCGCATAAAGATGCCGCGGACTGTTTTCAAGGGACTTGGGCCTCACACAAGCAACCTACATTATGCGCAGCGTAACTCGAATGAACCAGATCATGAGCTGCCTTAAACAGTATAATCCCCACAATCCCTATATAGGGATAATGGAAAAAACGGAAGCTATAGAGGTTATAGCGAGCATATAGGCCCTATATACGCCCTATGACCCCTATAGTTTCCATTTTCTTTACCATTATCCCCGTTTAACCCCAATTTGAAATCCCCCCTCCGGGCAGCCTCCTAAAGCCGCACCCCACTACCCACTTAGATCCAAATTTTGGGTTTAGGGTTTAGGATCCAAAGTAGGAAGGAATATGGTCTCAACAGTAATGGGGTACCAGGCAGTGGGGGTCCAAAGAGTTCCTAGGATTGCAGTCACAGTCGAAATCGTTTTCCAACGGCTTGCATTTGAGCTCTAAATCCCATGTGCCCCGAACCCTAAGACCGAAGACCATTCTATTTCACATTATCCCAAGATAACCCCAATATTATACCCTTCTAATAGTAGTTGTCATTATCCCAATTTTTAACTACTAAAAACCCTCCCTGGCCAGGATTCCAGTTGCGGCTGTTGCATGCAAGATTTCTGCCGTTGTCCCCGCAACTGTGACTGTCTTCCACGCCTGCGAGCACTCGGCTACCAAACACCGCCTCCCAGAATGAGCTTGATGGGTCCAGGGGTGAGGGCAGTCATTATCGTATATGGGGGTCTATATTGGGGTCTCCTTATTTTGGGAAACTACCATATAGGGGTTATATGGGGATAATGGAAAATAAAATGGAAACTGCTATAATATGAGTGGTCCTTGACCCTAGCAAGATCAGAAGTTTTGGGTGACTAAAAGGAGGCTTAGTGCAGCTAATGCGAAGAGCCTCTACTCATGGTGCCGCCTTTGGGATTCTCCATGTTCTGGGACCTGATCTTTCCGGAGTTGCCAGGGAATCTCTTCAATTATCGCAGAGCCGAATTTTGCATGATGGACATCTAGTAGCGCAGCCAGTGCTGTCATTGCACTGCGTGCCCCAACTCAACCCTAGAGTAATCCCGAAGCAATTTATGACCCAGTCCCCAATCCCATCGTCACGCTTGTGTCGAGCTTTTTGTCTGTCCAGAACATTCCACCGCAACAAGCTCATTTGCAGTTGTCTGGAACTTCAGGGTTTCTATGGGGCTTTGAAAGGGAATGGAACGCTTTGTGGCGTTGCATAACAGTTCACAGGGAGCATGCTGTGGACTACTACCGCTGAGCCACACTTCTTGAAGTAATTCAGAATGGCTTCCTTCGAGGGTCAGTGGGATTCAGTAAGTATGTTTATAAGGCCTTTAAGCTATATAGCACCCCCAAATATCCACTGACGTTCCAAGTCGGGGACAGCACAAGGTTGGATGCTGAGGCCGCCTACGAGAAAGGCGGCGGGGTACCCAGCAGAAGTCCAGGGAACTTCCGGATGAGCCTACGCATAAATGGAAAGGTAGCGCGAGCTTTTCCGGCCGCATAGGTCAAAACCATGCCA